ATAAAATAAATTCCAATTGTATTTATTGAAAATCCCAAATCATAACATATCATATATCAAGATTATTTACTAAACATGCAATTAAATGTACAAAACCGATATATATATATAAAAATGCTAGAAAAAATAGTGAAAACAATTTAAGTGGATCAAAACAGTTTAATTGTTGCTTTCCGGTTTTATTATTTTTTTTTTACAGTTGTACAGGTGAAAACAAAAATTAGATACATAGATAAAATTGATCGTACAGTTCACTATAATTTTCATATAAATTCTATAAATTTAATGTTGTGGAACCTGTGACGACAGATGTTGTGTGTGCTTTTGAGGTTTGTATTGTTGAAAAAATTAACTCTTGACTGACTTGCGGTCGTCCTCGATGAATAATGAAAGAATAGCAAACCCGAACGTCAACGGGACATCACTGTTCATTTCCACCCTCTTTAAATCGACTAACCCAATATTTATCTATACCACTCCTGAGCGTTCGATTGTTTTGTCCACTGTAAACCTATGTTTACTTAACAAATCAATTTCATAAAGTACACAAAACATCCAAATACTATGTGCAAACTAGCAGGAACTCCTCTTCTAATATTGTCTAATATTCATAAGTAGGTTTTTTTTAATTAACATTGTACAACACACTTTCAATCAAGTGTTATAGATTTTTTAAACAAACACAACAGCTCTTGCCTCTGCTCGTTTATTATCATTTACATACATGGTTCACTGACCAATTTACTAACCAGGCCACTTATCTAGTCTAACTCATCCGGCATGTGGTTCATTTAGTCCCGTTAAGTGACATTTACCGGTCGTTTTCATCAGTGTAGCTTAAATATGATTTGATATTTTGTTGTTTTTTGTACGGTTAGATTCCGGTTACAGATTAGAAGATTAGGTTCCGGTCAAGCTGTGCTTAAGTTCCTGCGAGGTTAGTAGGTATATTTTCAAAACTCAACATTTACGGGTTACCTGGCGGTAAAAGAAGGTAAATAATAATTGTATTTTGTTATTATCGCAACTGTGAACCTTTCGGATATCCTATAATATTGTACATTGTACTCAAATCGGTTTACTGTTTAAGTGTTTCAGTGGAAAATATTATAATGGTTGCACCATGGATTGGCGGCCGTATTATCTCGGTACTCGAGAACAAGGTAAACCCGTAAGACGTATCTTAAGTGCGCTCGACAACTTTTTGTGGTCACGAGTGAACTGCAGTTCGGTGTGTATTTTTTTTTTTTTTTGAATAAAGAGGATGTGTATCAGACGGGGGTTATTTTTTTTGGGCAGCGAAACCCTGCGAATATAATGGGCGTGCACGCGAAGAGTTAACAGCCGTACTGTCGGTAGAGGATATTATGCGGATCCAGGTAAACAGGTTTAAGCTGCTGCTTCTGTTGTGTTACCATTGCGGATACATGTTATTTAGCCGTAAAGGCGTTTAGTTACCTGAAATCCTAATAATAATAATAATAATAACGTTTAGGCAATGGGTGCGCATCTGGTCCGCGCGGATGGAAACGCAAAAACCGAAAACGTTTGAAAACACTTTTAAAATGCACTCCTTTTTTTTCGCTCGCTCTTTTATTCCGCATACAACCCACTACTATACTGCGGTTATTGACGGACCGAAAAGCAGTAGGCCGTGACGATTCGGAAAAGGTAAACCACTCTTGAGACGCCGGTGGTATAAGGTTAGTGTATACGATGCGGTTTTCCGCTGCCCGATGATAATATTATATTATTCTATGTATGTATATGTTATCATTATTTTTGCACAAGAGTTAAACACGGCGAGCGACATCCCCGAAACAGGGACCGTGTACACGCGGATAATACCTCTTTACATACCTAATATTATTGTTATTGTTATGGCAACTGCCGGCTGAGATGTATTGACAATCCGTCAGATGATCCGTTTACCTGCACCTTCGCTGAACGGTTGTTGCACGGATAAAGGTGGTAGTGACTATAGTGGTGCGTGTCGTGTCGAACTGGGGGGACTTAAACGCCGGGCAATGATAGTACCCCAAATAATAATAGGAAATGTTTGTTTGCAAACACACACTCGACTTCGGCAGTTCGACGATAATACCTACTCGTATTGTCAATTGTATATTATTATATTATTTTCTTTTCTCGGTTTCCGATTTCGATTCGGCTGTATCACTGCGATCGGTCTGTGCCGGACAAAAGACACCGAGCACAGATTATTTTAACGACGTTCGCCGATGTTTACCCGGTAGATTGTTTCGCAGATAAACGTGATGTTATTCCGAATAGAATGTAATGTATATTATAATAATACCTATGCACCTATATTATGCCTACTACGATATCCTCTTTCTTTTTCCCGTTTTGTTTGCTTAATGTTGTTTCCTCGTATTTACTTTAGATACCACGTGCGCGCCAACGACACACCGGCCGCAGTACCGCATAACGTGCGCGAGCTACAATAAGTTAAAGGTATTAGAAATAATAATAAAAAAAAAATCTAAAATCCACATAACACCGGTTGGAAAAATCGTAATACGTTTGGAACGCTTTCAAATTTCGTGGAAAAAAAAACAATTAAGACGAACACAATCGTTTCTAAAACGGTCCACTTTGAATCAACATTTTTATTAGCAATAAAATTTATTTTTTATTTTTTTTCATTAAAATAAAGACAATATTTACAATCTGTATACAAAATAATAAAATAGTTAAATGAGCTGAATATAGAAACTAGACAAGACGACGTGTAGGAAGGGAGCGTCCATTAACACTATATTTAAATATGAATTAAAATTTTTAGTTTAAGATATAAGTACTTTTTATATTTTTAAATTTATGTTAAATGTTGAGTAGATCACGTGGCCAGTTCCGTTTTAGTCGGCGAGGAGGATTTGAATACCGCAGGTTATTGCTGGACGTAAGAGTTGTTTGTAAATTAGTGTTATTTATTTAGTGAAGTTTTGAATTTAAGGAAATGTCTAAGCTTTAAATAAAATATTAAAAAATAAAATTGAGGGGTTATAACACCGAAAAAAAACGGTGACAACTCCAAAACGTTATAGTTGACTTAACCGGATAATTAGTATTCTTGACAGTAATTTGGTTTTATCAATATTAATTTAGTTGACAAGCGAATGTGGCCAATTATTAAGCGCTTGGTTGTCATTTATACAACCAATTTTTTTCTAGGGTAATGTGTATTTAAGCAAAAATTAAAAAAAAAATTTTCTTCCTAATTTGTTGCGGACAAGTCCTGAACAATTATTAGAAATAATACAATAATTCAGAAATATTATTGGAACATTTGTGGTAATGATAATACATTGTCTGTTTAAAACATGACCAAAAATTATTTTGGCAATTTTTTAAAATATAGACACAATTAATATTAGTTCGTACACTTATTTTTCAAGTAATTTAAAAATAGTTTATAAATGCTCTTTTAAGGTTTAATGGAAAATATGATTACAATCATAATATTGGTTTGGTGTTTTGAAAAATAATTCAAAGGTAATTATTGTGCAAATTTAAAATACTTATGAAATTGTCTAACGAAAAGTTATAACAGCGTATATGCTAAAATCTCAAAAACGAAACCAAAAATATTATTTAAGATTTATTATCGATTTATTTTTTGCTAATCTTATTGAATACTTGGACCTAAACTCGTAATTTTTATTTTATTAGCGATTGCTCAAAATTGGTTTACCAAGATCAAAATCCGCTTTCACCCACTCGACTAGTTAGAAATATTAAATTTTCTAAACGTTTTTCTAGGTCTAGTTAAAATTGTTGTAAAATATGTTAAAATAATAAATTTCAGTAAAAGTTTTGAAAATATTTCATGTACATTATTTTTATTAATTAAAAATGTGTTTAAGTAATTATAGGAGTTATGCTTTAAATATAAACGCAGTTTGAATATTGGATTTCCTGCTGAAATATGAGAATTATTTTAAAAATTATTTTGGCAACATTACCGTGTAGGACAATTAAGTCGAAACACATAGTTAAAAAAAATCATTAAACGTTAAAGGAGTTTACATGAGTTTTTAAATATTTTATGTATTTTTTCAATAAGCTTATTAGGACAAAAATCGAATAAAAAATTAAATTAACTATAATATTGTGTTTTCAAGATTTTTTACAAAAGTTCTAACAATTGCATTTATATTTTAAATATCTAATTAAAAATATATTTTTTAGGTTATTAAGTTTTTAAAAGAGTTGTTTTTTAAGAAATTAAAAAAAAAAGCGATTTACTATTTTTTATTTCATTTTTTAATTTATATAAATTACATATTTTATTATAACTAGACAAACATTATTATTGTTGCACTTCGCAGGATTTGAGGTATTTTTCAGTCCTCAACTTCCAATCCCAAATTATAATATAAATATTAAAACCGTGACTATTCGTTTTTGGACGAGGCCTTTGTCCCGATTGCTCATACTTAGGAGTCGTTGCAGTTATTTGAATTTTACCCAATCCTGGATAATTATTGTAGAATAATGAAACAGCAGACAGCAGAGTACAACACAATATGTGTCAGTCGAATCGTAGTCCTTACTCCTTATTTAAATGGCAAAAATGAATACACCAGGGCGTCCTTACCAGGGCCGTTCACTGTAATTCTTCACAGGGGGTACACTCGGTTTTATTATACTATCAAACCGAACGTAATCGGCTTAGGCCGGATTACAACAAGTCCAAAGGCGTTACCGTGAATCACGCTTGTTTACCCTTACCGTGACCAGTTTAAGTGTTCCATTTTTACTATACCTCATCAGATGCATATAAAATACTACTGTAGCTGGGGTAGGAAGTGGGAAAGGAAGTTAGGTCACAGGTCGAAGGTGTGTGATTAGATAATATAAATAATGATACGGTATAGCGATGATATTTTTCTACACCTTTATTTATGTTAAAAAAAAATAATCACAACAAGTATGTACATAAAAAATAAACATATTTAAACGAGTTTTGGCCACATCAATCCGTAGTTATTACATATAGGTTAGTACAAATGCATTTTGTCTTTTGCAAAAATAATAATTTTTTTTTTTAATATTGAGCAAACAATTAATTGTACCTATTCCGGGGCACCAGACACGGCGAAAGTCTCAGGAGTAAAACATCATCGGTTCTTGGTGATGGTACCTTTGGTCGGTGTACAGAGAGCTCTGCCAAGTGGTGTCTTGCGTCCAAGTGTTCTGATACTCGTGGTAAGACTGCGAGTAGATTTTGTTGGGCAATTGGCAGTCGAACGGTTTGGTGGTGGTCCATTTGTCTGCTTGGTAACAGCTGTCGTCGGCGTAGGCCGAGGAGTAGGAGGTGCTGGTAAAGGTTTGCTGTTCAAAGTATCCGGAATCATTGGCGCTAAGACAGTGATGACCTGTGGACTTTTTAACGGGCGTTGAAGTCGCCAGCGGCTCGGTCATTGCACACGGTTTCTTTTGTTGGGCCAGAGCGCAAGTTCCCGTCGACGATGTGATCTGTGGACAAAAAGAAAACCATTAAAATCGGCACAGATGTTGAATGTTATTTTTTCAATTTAAAGGGGGCCAGATAAATTCGGAAAGGATGGGCGTTCGTTAGTTGAGTCGGGTTTTGGTAAAAACATTATATTTTCAACCATTACTGATCAAATTTCGGTTTTTCTAAACTAACCAAGGCCTTAAGGCCCAACGCTACCACCATGAGATGAATTAGTGTTTACATAATATACAAAAGTGTATAATATATATTGTGCTAAAAATTGTTGTGAGGTAATAGTGTAAGACATATGTATATTGTACAGTGTATATTGTTATAACAGAATATATATACATTTTCTTATACTAAATTATTGTTTTTGCAACGTCGTAATATTTAAAATAGTATATTATATTTTTAAATATTTCTATATCATAAACGTTAAATACCCCATTAAGTAATTTTTCGCTTGTTAAAAAATTGTTATGTATTTGATATATTAAAAAAAAAAATCATGTATTATTAGGAAACAATATTGAAACATATTTTGTAAAATACAAACAGCAAAATATGTTTTATTATAATCTATTTATTATTAATTTTCAGCAAAATTATAATGAAAATGTTTATTTTTGAAATATTAAAAATATTGTAATAGTTTTAAGAGAGTAATACATTTTTCGAGGAAGTACTATTAAAATATAATAAATTATAAAAAAAATGTTTTATATTTTTAAAGTTATATTATAATATCACTATTTAAATATTAATACAAATTGTTTATAATCATTTTTTGGGATGAAATTTAATGTTTTGAAAATATTACTAATTTTTAAGTCGTATAAAAAAAATATTTTGTAAATAACATTATTAACCATTATATATTTTTAGCAATCGCATTACAAAGATATTGGTAAACAAAATATAACAATTAAATATTTATTCTTATCGTTTAATAACTTGTTTATACAATTTTCCAATAATTATACGAGTAAAGCATAAACGTTAAAAATTGATAAAAATATCAAAATCAATACTACAAAAATATTCGTTATATTATAAATTCAAGAAGTACAGTTTTCCTCGTTGACAGTTTAAATTGGGTGAGTTAAATTTATTTTTCGATAACAATACAAGACTGCGCGAGGCAATTGTATACTTGCCAACGACTGAGTAGTGCTTTCCTGAGTTTTTAAAGTTCAAAGACTTATAAGCAAAAAACCATCCTACTCCCATCCCCTGGACATTGACAAACGCAGACTACTACCCGAATTTTTTTGTTTTTTTTTTTGCTCAAAAATATTATTACACTTAGATTTGGTAAACTCACCGTGTTCCCGTTCTGGCCGATACTGACGGTGACGTCACCCATGGTTAGCGTAAGCGGCTCTTCCCGGTCCAACGGCGATTGGTCGGTGGACTCGACCACCTGAAGCGTGTGCGACAGTGCCCAGATGTAATTGTGAGCGAACCTGAGGGTCTCGATTTTCGTCAGCTTAGCGTCATCAGGATAGGTCGGCAACACACACCGGAGTCGGTCCAACGCCTCGTTCAACATGTGCATCCGGTTCCGTTCCCTGTCGTTGGCTTTCATCCGACGGTGTTTTTTGATTTTGATTATCTGCAAACAACACAAACACAATCAGCAAATCTGGACCAGAAGCCTTTCAGATATTACGACTAAGGCGTCTTTGCCCGAGTGAAAATTTCAGTCAGGATTGGACCGGAATCGGATCCCAGTAACCTGATTTTACGGCTAAGGTGAAAAAAAATACATAGTTCTGTCCAATTATGGTTAATTTGGAGGAGATACAATAAATTTCTAATTGGAATGACTAAATAAACAGTTGGACCGTCTGAACATTTAGTTTGGCGAACTATTTATTTAGTCCAACCAACTAAAAATTGACTGTGTCCCTGTATATTAATCATAATTGTTCTTGGACCATTTAAGTACATTTTGCCGTGTAATAATTCCCACTGGCCGCGGTGTGCTTACCTGTGTGGGGCTCCTATCCCGGGTCCGTCTCTGCCGGCGTTTCCTGGGCTTGGCCACGCGTAGAAGACCGTCTTCTTCTTCGGCCACGCTCACCGAAGACGCGAAACCCTCCGACCCCATAGTGGTGTCGTCCAGCGAGAAGCCGGCTTCGTTTTCCGAATCGAAGCTCATCTCGAACCCTGAATCAGAACCGTCCTGTTGTAGACTTGTACCGTAGAAACCCTTCGGATCCATGGTCGCCGAGTGACTGATCGACAGACGGCTGCGGACCTCCGTCGATCGCACCCCCACGAGACCCGTCCGACCGGGGTGGGCGGGACCGGTCGTTTTGCCATTGGACAAGTGCATAACACCCTTAGCCGTGCACAAACCAGGAAGGGTCGGGCGGTCGAAACCGTTATTGGGCGCTCTAAATAGACCGGCGATTTGCGCATAGAATTCGTCTCGAAACATAAAAATTACCTACTATGTTATATTTTTCGATCGGCAGATGTAAAGTGTACACAAATTTTCCCAAAAAAAAAAAAAAGGGTTATCGGTTTTATTTTTTCGCCCAATGTAAACAATAAATCAACCATTGTCCGTTGTCGGCCGCCGACAACGTCCGAGACGAATCGGAAATTATTGAAAAAAAAACTAAATAAATTGGAGCAGAACATCGGTGGCCGCGTGCTCGAAAACGAGACACGTCATAATTCAATTATTCCGTACAGTAGTAGAACAGGCAAAAAATAAACTTTGTATATATGTATAATAATATCATCAATATGCTCGACGGAATACCTGTCTATCTTGCGAACAGTCTAGTTTACCGACAAAATATTCTGTTGACGTTTCCCATTTCATTTATTTTACATAATACACCACCGCAGACGACCGACACACCGTGACGGCCACCGACCGACTATATAAACATAATGCTATTAACACGGTGATAATTACATCTAAATTGTAAGTACACACAGTTTTCGAGCTTCGCGGCCCGTGTTATGGAGCCCGTTATTAAAAACCGCGGTTCCGGTCGACGGTGTTTGGCCGAACGTTATTTTATCATAATACTACAATATAACACATTGTGATGACTTGTATTGACTTGTAGCGGTGTCTGTGATCCAGAAAATGATCTTCGCCAATTGCGTTTTACCTGCTGTTGGGTCGACCGAATTTCGTCCAAAGACTAAATTATTTAAATTCTTACATCCCAGTAGACGGCGGTCTTCAAATTACAATATCACAGATATTAAAAATTATACAATGCACTTTAATATTGTAAAAATAAGTTTAAACCCTTGTCCGGCAAAGTACAAAAACGTTATTTATTTTAATGTTTATTAAAAATTTTTTAAAAAACTATACAAAATTATATTTAGACATTTTTGTTTATATTGGAAAATATATTGATCGCATCTAGAAAATATTACAATTTATCGCTGTCTGGATAATATTTCTAATTAATGTTCTAAATTATTTATGTATTAAACTGGTAATGACAATTGTTATAACAGTTTTGTGCAGTGTAATTTATTATAGTTTAGTTTAATACGTATTATAGTACTGCAGTACTCTTTTCAAACAAGTCAGTGTTACAATAATATTATTACTTATTTTTTTTTTGTTTTCGAGGACCATTATTATTATTTTACTGCAATCTACACAATACAGCTATTTGTTATAAATCTTAGCATCTTGAAACCAATTGTTATTTTTATTTAATGCGTTTGTACAACAGTAGACAATACTCTACAAACGTACAATTTATAATAAAATTGAATCGTTACCTTTAAAAAAAAAAAAAAAACACAATATTATGTATAATTTAAAAATATTATTGTTGCCGTCGTTTTTGCTTTGCCTACAACAAAACATATTCCCAGTAAAGTATCGTATATTGATTTGTAAACTTTCCTGCGTTGTGTACTTAACCGATGATAATCACGAGTCGAGTGTTTGAAAAAAAAAAAGAAATGTTTCTTTCAAGTGTCAAAAACCAACAATACGGCTTGTCGCGGATTTTCGTGTAAATTTTTATTTTCAAACACTAATCCCCGTTTGTGTGTGTATGTAATGTATTACTATATAATAATGTGTTTAGCCCGATGTTCGTGTCTAATCCGCTTTGCGGTGTAATCGCGTTCGGTGTTCTTTAAAAGTTTCATCTCTTGTTTTCGTTTTTTCAACGTGTATGGGTAGGTATAACGTGTACTTACCGCCGTCGATACTCGGACGGGTGAGGGTAAAAAAACAACAACAAAACAAAAAAAAAAGAAAAGATTTTTGCATCCGCATTGTATGTATATATGTATATATATATATATATTGTAGATTTTCGGGGCCAGCCGGGAACGACCGGAACAAAACGGGTTCTATTGTAAAGTAAAAAAAAGGGTTGGCGAAATTATTAACTGAACCCTTTTTTGTTAGAGGGGAGGGGGGGGGGTGCTGTCCTTTTTAAAGATCACCACTCTCCCCGTATACCCCCCTCCGCTCTCTGGTCCTATACCCGTGTGTGTAATAATATATGTCGGCGGGGGGGGGGGGGTTAAAAAAGCCTAGTGTCAAGCGACAGTGCTTGGACGGAGCATTTACAAGCCGCATTAGACCGTTTTGTTTGTTTGCTCTACTAAACGAGCCGGCTTAGCATATTATTATTACCAATATAGTATAATGTACGGTGTCGACGGTTTATTAACGCTAGTGTATTATATTGTATTTATTTTATTACTGCTGTGTACCTCTACTACTCTGCCGAATGGTAAAAGCCAATCGTGATCACCGGAAAACGGTAAACTACTCTTAGGCAGACCCAAACTCACTTATATGTATATATATATATATATTACTTAGAGGTAACCTTATCTAACCCACGACGCACGGTTTGCCGTTATCTTAAATACCATCGCCCATACCGTTTGTATATTATTACTATTATTATTATGGTAACTGGGCAAGCAGGAAAAACTTCATAACGTTATGGTCACACGCGAATTTCACCGTTACACCGCCCAAGTATGTAAAACGGCGAGTTCAAATTAATACTTATATCCGTTTGTGACAAACTGTGAGATTTTTTTAAATTGGTACACACATTTTTACACTCAACCATATTGATTTGCTGAGATATATTATTTATAAATTCTCATGTTACATGCAAAAACATAACACTTAAGGTGTACAATTCTAATAAAACTTAGTTAATTACAATTTTACAATGACATTATACTACAAATTCTGATAATCTCCTCAGAAACATTTACCCAATTGTATTTATAAGTTTTTTTTTAAATATTATTCTCCAATGTTGCTTACAGTTTACAAAACAAAATTTAGGGTTTTGTCATTTTTTTTTTTTTTAATTTAAATATAAATTGCAAATTCTACATTGTTTCTAAAACCAGTGTTGAATTTAACGAAGAAAAAGAATAAAAAAACTGTATTTGAAGTAAACCTTAAATTATGTTTAAAACTTACAGAACTTGCTGAAAGTATCTCATAATCGTTTAATAACATTTTATAATCGTTTTTTCGTTAAAATAATAATTCATTTCTAATTGAATTCAAAAACCATAGTAGTCATCGTTGCCTTTAATATATTAGTAAATTGTTTTTTCCAGGCTCGAATGGATCATAATAAATTGAATGTCATTACCGAGACTTTAATCGGTTAACAATCTGGCCGACAATACATTAAGCAATAGGTTCAGATTCTTTAAAGCGATAACCAAAACTAAAAACAATAAAAACACGAGTTGACACTTACTATCAAGAGCAAGCATCTCTTAAAAAGTCTATTTTACTAATTTGTTTTGTTATTCAAATTGTTTAGACGTTCTAACATTGGGTAACATTTTTTTGGGCTATGAACTATGATCAACTCATAGATTTTCAATAACGTTCGTTATACAATGGACATACTGAAGCCCAAGTTTGTTTATAAAACAAAAAATTACTCTAAGACGGTTACGCGTTTCATCAACATGTAACCGTAAACACATTGGTGGCTGGCCTTAAAACTGGAGTTGCGTGGCATATAATATTAGTGGTCCTGGTATGAAAATAATTATGCATTAAACAGGAAACAGAATGTCCCTGTTGAATAATAATAATATTCGACGACAGTCAAATTATGATTTAATATAAAATATGTACAATATGGCCAAAATGTATAATATGCCTCGTGGCTCGTGAGTGACACACATGTCTAATGTGAAAACAATTTACAAGTCACGAGCTCGTCGCTTGTAGGACTTTTAATTTTTGACATTTAAACGTTAATTGCCTTTTCATGTTCGTATATACTTCACAAACCGTTCTACAAGGTAACCTGTCCAAAAAAATATCTTGGAAGAATCACGACTGTGCAGTATTTAAATTCATTTGAAAAGTTTAAAATTAATTGTAAGTCGTCTACGGATTTCACATATTTTCAGTTCATTGCGTTCAATTATTATCGAATGCCGTTTGAGAGCTGAGACAACAAAGTAGTCCTTCAAGACCGTGTTAAATTTCAATAACAAATGGCATTGCCTTATTTGAATTTATGATTGATAGTATTACAAAAAAAAACACACACACACACACAAATTGCTTATAACTTTAGGTTCGATGCGGAGCGCATATTCTGTATTTTGTTTTGAGATTTATTTATTCAAAATCAGAACCGTTGACATAGCATTACTTTTCGAATCAAGTGTCAAGAAACGCATCAAAGTGTATCCATGTACATATACATATATAATAATGTTTATATATATACATTTTTTTTTTTGTAAATTTGCTTTTCATAAATCGTTCTCTTTTTTATCGACTTGTCACGTCGACCAGCAGTTGTCCACAACATTATGCGGGTAGTTTTGGATGAAATGAATAACGCGATCGAAGACCAACAAAAGCCGTACTTAAATTTCGCGTACTTAGCTTCTATCATAATACACATATCAGTTATAACGCGAGCGTCGTGTGTGCTATAGCCCGTGCATGGTACATACGAACAAAACCGTAAAGGCAAAAAGGGCGTTCCGGACCGTTGAACCTAACAGCACCTGTCAAAATCCTACCCCGGCTTTGGGGGGGGGGGCATTCATAACACTGATTTTGGATACGAACAATAATAAACGGTAATAGCTCCGACGCCGGTCGCCCTCCAAAAGTCATTCGGTTGTGACTCAAAAAAAAAAAAAACCTACTACCGATTTTGAATTATTATATTTTTATTTATGAATCACCGGAAAATATAT